ATTGATGTCTGAGCGTAAAGGTTTCCCTATCCACGAGAGCAAAAGCGAAAGTGAACTTACTTTACGTCATGTAAATAGCAAATGCAAATGCGCTCATGACGCGACGCAACTGGCTCTTAAAGGTAATGGGAGATGAGTCGCTGATCCCCACATTATAAGTTTACCTCGCATAACAGCTTTTAGCTGCGTCCCATCGATACTAGGTGACACCTCTGCATTATTATTATGTTTTAAATATTGTAATAGTTCTTTTTTAACATATTCTACACACGTTAAATCATTCAAATGATTAAGTTTAAATCGCCGAAATGTCTTACTCAACCTGTCTCTTTCTCTCGTGTTTTCCACGAAAATTCTGCTCTTGAATTTTCTAATTCTTACACCAACTTTCTTTCAAATGCTAATGCTTCTTTGCCATCTTGTTCAGACACTGAACAACTTGCTGAAACCTTTAATTCTGCTTATGATTTTGCTTTAAATGAAGTTGCTCCTCTTAAATCAAAGAGGTCTAGGGTTAGTTCAATTCCTCAGCCCTGGTTAAATTCATCTACCCGTACTCTCAGGCAAGAGTGCAGAAGGGCTGAGCGCAGGTGGAAAAAGGATGGACTTCAGGTTTCCTACCAGATTTTAAAAGACTGCCTAAATTCATATCAAGACTCGGTCAGTGAGGCTAAATCTAAATATTTTTCAAATTTGATTGCTAAAAGTGCAAGTAAGCCAAAAGTCCTTTTTAAAACTATTAATTCAGTTCTTAATCCAACTATGTGCTCTGTTCCTGTTGTCAATCTGGAGACGTGCATAAAGTTCTCTGACTTTTTTGCTCAGAAAATACAAGATATTAAATCACACCTCTTTCCCACCGACATAGATCATTCTGATTCGGTCCCTCCATCAAACAGTTTCACAAATTTTCAGCCTGTATCTTCTTCTCAGCTACTTAATACAATTTCTCAGATGAAACTCACCTTTTGTCCTTCAGATGTGCTGCCTTGCCGTCTTTTTAAAGAGGTTTTAGATACAATCTGCCCCTCCCTCTTAGCCTTAATAAACAGCTCCTTAATAAACGGGGTTTTTCCAGATGTCTTCAAACATGCTGTTGTACAGCCTCTATTAAAGAGGCCTAATCTTGATCCCGCTGTGCCTGACCACTACAGGCCCATATCTAAGCTCTCATTTATCTCAAAGGTTTTAGAGAAAATTGTACTTTCACAATTGACCTCATATCTGGACATTTTTAATATTCTAGACCCCTTCCAATCTGGTTTTAGAGCAAAACACAGCACTGAGTCTGCACTACTAAAGGTCACAAATGACATTTTACTCTCCATGGATTCTGGATCTTCTGCGATTTTAATACTTTTAGACCTAAGCGCTGCTTTTGATACCGTAGATCACAACATATTATTGAGACGACTTGAGTGTGTTGTTGGGGTTCAGGGCCTTGCCTTGCAGTGGTTCTCCTCATATCTAAAGGGGAGATCTTTTTCTGTAAATATTGGATCCTTTACTTCACCACCTAAACCTATTCATTGTGGTGTTCCACAAGGATCTATTCTTGGCCCTCTTTTATTTTCTCTTTATATGCTTCCTTTAAGCTCAATACTCCTCAAACATAACATAAGCTATCACTGCTATGCTGATGATCTCCAACTATACTTTCCAATCAAACTAGGAAAAGATTTATCATTAGAAAATCTTTTCCTATGCCTTACCGACATTAAGACCTGGATGACAAATAACTCTCTGCAACTAAATGAGAATAAAACAGAAGTGTTAATTTTAGGTCCTGCTGCTACCAACAATTCAATTAAAACTCAGCTAGGAGCCCTAAACGACAATCTGCACAATCACGCCAAGAATCTCGGAGTTATTTTTGATCCACTCCTGCAGTTTGACAAACATTTAAATGCAGTTGTGAAGAGCAGTTTCTTCCAGCTTAGATTGGTGGCAAAAGTTAAACGCTTTCTTTCTAAAAAAGATTTAGAAATCGTAACCCATGCTTTAATCTCCTCTCGTCTAGACTACTGCAATTCTTTGTATATTGGCCTACCTCAGTCAACACTCTCTCGGCTACAGTTGGTCCAAAATGCAGCCGCCAGATTAATAACAGGAACTAAGAAAAGAGAGCATATCTCCCCTGTCCTTGCCTCATTGCACTGGCTACCTATAAAATACAGGGTTGATTTTAAAATTCTTCTTTTCACTTATAAAGCTTTGCACAATTCTGCCCCCGCCTATGTCAGCGAGCTTATTAGGCCATATACAGCTCGCAGATTCTTAAGATCACATGATCAGTTTTTTTTGTCTGTCCCTCGGTCTCGCTGCAAGTCAAAGGGTGATCGAGCTTTCAGTGTTGCGGCCCCAAGGCTCTGGAATAGTCTCCCTCTGAATATCAGAATCTCTCCTTCTTTGGATGCTTTTAAATCTACCTTAAAGACACATTTTTACTCTCTTGCCTTTGACTGATGCATGCATGTTATTTTTGTATTATTTATATTTTAGTATTACTTTTAAATATATTTTATTGTATTTTTAATACCAGTTATTTTTAGGTTTATTGTCTAGTTTATTTTATTGTAAAGCACTTTGGATCAACTACGGTTGTGTTAAATTGTGCTCTATAAATAAAGTTTGCCTTGCCTTGCCTTACTTGGAATATTGTCCAGGTAAACTGTTAAATATACTCCTGCATGGTCTGAGATGTCCCTTGTTCCAATTTTACAGTCTTTTATTTTATGTTGATCTGACCCAAACATCAAAAAAAACAATTCTAGAATGAGACATGTGGGCAGAAGAGAAGAAAGTATATTCTTTTTTAAGAGGGTATATGTCTCTTCATACATCTATCGAGCCTAATTATTTCATCAAATATCTTATTTGTCTTGTTTCTTGACTAATTTGCTTATTAGAAGATGAGTCCAATTTAGGCTGAAGTTGTACATTCCAGTCTCCCCCACAGATCAACGTACCTGATGCCTCCTTGGCTATAACACTAAATATTTTTTTGAGAATTGCTTTGTCTTTTTCAGGTGGTCTATATATACTAACTAATGTAACTTTGTATTGGTCGATAGTTTCTTTAATTAAGTTATATCGCCTTTCTTTATCAGTAATCTTAGAAATTAATTGGAAGTTGATTTTATTTGAGATTAATGTCATTACTCCTCGTTTACAACCATTATTATATGAGGAAAAGAAAACCCTAAATCCCATTGTTTCTGATTTCCTATGTTCTGTATCAGAAAGATGTCTCTTGCCAGAAGATTATCTGTTGGTTTTCTCTTTTAATTTTAGCCACAGGTTTGCTTCTTTTAATCGGATTTAGTAACCCATTAATATTCAAAGTAATTACTCTATATTTCTGTTTTTGCACAATCAGATATTATTGCGAAGATCACTGATCGGAACATGAAAAACACAAACATGAATATCTTGAACCACATAAAAAAACATTAAGAAAAAGATCTCCAAACCTTGAAGTCTAAAATAACTTCTTAATGTGAGGGGAAAGCCTTCCTTCTTTAAAAAGCCCTTTCTTGCTGTGCCTATTGTTATTTAAATATGGTTTAGGTTATCATATATGACGTAAAAAGGAAGATTAATACCAGTGTGTATAGGAGCTCTCTTTCTCAGCTTCTTAAGCTGCCTCGAATGAGTGAAACTCTAGGTTTGGGTATCGTTTGGTTTTTCGATACCGGTGCTAAATTGATACTTTTAAAACAATACCTGTGCCAAAACGGTGCCTGAATCAACACTTTTTAGCCACAAAATGATGGTGGACGACTCTTCAAAAATATTTTATTTGACAAATGATTTTTTCAAAATAATTTTAATAGAACAATATAATTACAGTTTAAAGTAAACATCAATTAATATTGTATTACATTAATACATTTCCTTTGATCATTGGTTGGTTAGCATGAATTTAATATTTGCATTATGAAATTACATTAGCTTACTATTTACCTGTGGGGGGCGGGCAGGGGCCACGTACTTTTAGGAGCACATTTTAACATATATATCACAAAATACTTAAAACATTATTGGAAGTCATTTGTTTTCATCCATCACTCTGCAGTCTTCATAAACAAGATAATTAAATAACTTAAACTCAAAATAATCTTCCTTGTTCATTTATTTGACAAGTAACATTGTACTGGTGTAGGAGAACACATTTCTAACATTCAAGTACATCAAGGCACATTGCTGCACCTGTAAACTTTAACAGGCCTACAGTTGAAGTCGATTCATTTTGCCCTCCCATTCATTTAAAATAATGTTTTTGAAAACTTTTACAGTGTTTCCTAAAACATAAATATTCTGGAGTCATAATAAGTCCTATTTCTTATTGTTTATTTCATGAATAAAAGCCGTTTTTAATAAAAATAAATAAATAAAAATAAGGTCAGTATTATTAGCCTCCTTAAGAAATATTCACTATATATTTTTGATTTACACAACAAATCAGTTACAAAATAATTCGAATAATTATTTTAACTTTCGTAGGGAACTGATAAGTCTAAATTACACTTTAATCTAAATAAAAGACTATAAAATACTTAAAGGGACTTTGTCTGAATACTGTCTTGCAAAATAACTAGTAAAATGTTCTGCACTGACTGTCAGCATAAAAAAGTAGCGTTAGATATTAGAAACGAGTCAGTTAAACTATTGTGTTTAAAAATGTGTTGTAAATAAATCATGTGTTCAAGACAGAAATCAAAAATGAATGAAGTCAAAACTAAACGAGTTGAATATTAAATGTTTAGTGATGCTGTGACAAAACCTATATGTGCCTTTTTTTATGCAACCCTCACGTCCATGCCGCAGCACCGAAATTCATATGCTGATTTAATACCGGTGCATACCGGTTACCATGGTACCGGTGCTATAATGGCACCGGGTTTCGGTAACAAACCCTAGAACACACTGATCATGTCTACAGTTTATCTCCAGCGTGAATCCTCTCATGTGTTTTCAGGGTTCCTGAGCGAGTAAACCTCTTACTGCAGTGTGAACACTTGTACGGTTTATCTCCAGTGTGAATCCTCTGGTGCCGTTTCAATCCTGCAGCTGTAATAAAAGTCTTCTCACACTCCAAGCACATAAACTCTCTCACACCAGTGTGGATTTTCATGTGTTGTTTAAGGTGTGATGATGTGCTGAAACTCTTCCCACATTGAGTGCATGTGAATGGTTTCTCTCCAGTGTGGATCATGATGTGTTGTTTAAGGTGTGATGAGTGGATGAAACTCTTCCCACACTGAGGGCATGTGAATGGTTTCTCTCCAGTGTGGATCCTCATGTGTAGATTAAGGGATGATGAGTGGCTGAAACTCTTCCCACACTGAGTGCAAGTGAATGGTTTTTCTCCGGTATGGATCCTCATATGTCTATAAAGCGATGAAGATTTGCTGAAACTCTTCCCACACTGAGTGCATGTGAATGGTTTTTCTCCAGTGTGGATCATCATGTGCTTTTTAAGGTGTGATGAGCAGTTAAAACTCTTCCCACACTGAGCGCATGTGAATGGTTTCTCTCCAGTGTGGATCCTCATGTGTTTTTTGAGGTATGATGAATCGTAGAAACTCTTCCCACACTGAGTGCATGTGAATGGTTTTTCTCCGGTGTGGATCTTCATGTGTTTATAAAGCGACGATGATTTGCTAAAACTCTTCCCACACTGAGGGCATGTTAATGGTTTCTCTCCAGTGTGGATCCTCATGTGTAGATTAAGGAATGATGAGTGGTTGAAACTCTTCCCACACTGAGTGCATGTGAAAGGTTTTCCTCCGGTGTGGATCTTCATGTGTCTATAAAGCGATGATGATTTGCTAAAACTCTTCCCACACTGAGTGCATGTGAATGGTTTCTCTCCAGTGTGGATTCTCATGTGTTGATTAAGAGATGATGAGTGGCTGAAACTCTTCCCACACTGAGTGCATGTGAATGGTTTCTCTCCAGTGTGGATCCTCATGTGAGTCTTTAATTTGCTTTTGCTTGCCAAACTCTTTCCACACTGAGTGCAGGTAAAACAACTCTTGTCTCTCACTTTTAACACACCATCAGTCTCTAAATGAGTTTTGTCCTCAATTTTGACATGATGTTCCTCCTCTACTCTCCTCGTAGTCTTTAATTAGGTCTGAAATAGAAATAAGTTTACTTTTTAGTAAATCATAAAACTCAGTGAAAAGGAAGTGAAAACATTGGCTACACAAATCTTAATTTTGATGCACATTAAATGTAAAGACAAAGCAGATCATATTTAGATTGATCTTGTCATATTTACCTCCTGGAGTCCATTACACAGATACACATTTAAGCGGATTCTTATATGATTATTCCCAGATTAATTTTTGTCATATTGATGAGACATAAATTTGAAAGCTGTAAATGGCCAGTTTCTATTTGTATATATTCGTAATCACAACTAAACAACTTGTTTTTGTAAAACTTGTAAAGCCAATAGGGAATGCTTTTTCATTCTGTGCCTGACTGGTAAACCTGTTAGAAAAACAGCTGAATCTCTGCTAATATTTGCCTTATAGACATATATGACACATGTATTATATCTGCATAAAGCTTTAAATCTGCACCATTAAATGACAAATGTTCTAGAGGTATGTAATCTGTATGTAACAAATGCAATGCAGAAATCTAACACTTAACTGTTTCAGATCATCAAACAAAAAAATAAATATTAGTCAAAGATCAAAAGATAACACAATTAAACACAAATCAAGTTTTTATTCTTAAATTGAAGACAAAATACTGAACTACACAGACTTGTGTGAAAAAAAAAATTCCCATTAGAGCAATTTTAATTTATCACACCGGCTTCAAGTTCTCTAGCCACACCCAGACCTGATTACTACCACACGTTCGCAATCAAGAAATCACCTAAATAGGACCTGTCTGACAAAGTGAAGTAGACCAAAAAAAGCCTCAAAGCTAGACATCATGCCAAAATCTAAAGACCTTTAAACACAAATGAGAAAGAAAATACCTGTGTCACGAGTTAAAAAAAGAGTGAGCTCAAATGCAAGTCTTTATTGAGAAGCGAGTCTTGGAAAAAGCAAAAGTCAAAGTAAACACCCGGTCGGGTGAGCCCTGAGGAAGTGCCGTAGGAAAAAACAACCAAACACTCACTCACTAGCGGTCTTGGAAACATACAGTGTGAGTAACAAAATAATATGCACACAAATGATCGACAACATACTGACAAACATGAAGGGAAATGATGTGGTATAAACAGGAAAAAAGGGAAACGAGAGCTCCTGTGACTGCATATAAAACTAGATGACAAGAGATAATCTGTAACACAGATCAAAGCTCCTTTCACACAGTGATACCAGTAAATATGCAAAAAATTTCCGGAACGACTTTACCGGTATATTTAAAAAAGCGCTGTTCACACAGGCGAGGACGTTACGGAAAATTTCCAGAAAAGACCTTTCACACATCCATTCCAAAATACCGGTAAATTCTGACATCATTTACCACAAATGAGCCTTAAACGGCTGCGCTTGTATTTGTAAACATTTGACTACATTACAAACTCTGTGGATGATCAGTATTGTGAAAAACTTCGAAGAAAACATATGGAGGATCACTTTGGCATGTCGAGATGTTCATAATATCTGCGTGTGCTGGCTCTCACAGGCTGTTTCACAGGTACACGCACAGCTTGAAGGTAAACAAACAGCGGCTTATCATAAGCATCTCATCGATGATTATTTACACAGTTGGCATTAAGAAGAACATATAAACGTGATCTGACTAACTTCCAGCAGCTAAATGCGTCTGGGAAAATATTCAAAGGCTTTTATTCTCATAAACCGCGCGGACGTAAACGCGTCTGACTGTTCTGATTGGCTCAAGCAGACGTCTCACATCAGCACGTTCTAGACGTGCACGTGCTCTTTCCGGCAATCTTCCTTCTGCATTCACACAGCGCAGCATTCCGGCAAATTACCGGTAATGTTACAACTTCTCTTTCCGGAAAATAGCCAGAACGAATTTACCGGTATTTTCAAAAAGGACCTGTTCAAACATACAACCTTTCCGGAAAATTGTCGGTAATTTTCCGGAAAGGTCTGCATGTGTGAAAGGGGCTCAAGAGAAGAGAGCAAAAGTTTAAGGTATCAAAGGAGGATGTCACATCAAAGACTCAAGTGTTACCACTCATTGGGTTATGTCACAAGACTCGCGTCACTTTATTGTGGATTTGAGGCTCAATAGGATTCTAATTACTGGCCAAAATTATATAAAATTACACTTTATTACAATATATATGTTGAATATAAATAATTATAATATAATTATATATATAATTATAATAATAATAATTATAATTATATAATAAATAATTATAATATGTATAATATAATATTAAATTAAATTACATGGGGGGTGGTTCGTTCGAACAACCCGAAACCCCCTGGCTACGGGCATGGCACAGTGATCTGTGTCATTACAATGGCTTTTTCCCACAGCTGGTGGAGAACCAAAGTTCGGTTTGAGTTCAGTGTAGAGCATACATTTTCATTGTTTTCACTGTAAAATCCTCACCGCGTGCACAGATTTAGGAGACATTTATGCAGAATGCATCTTTGCACCTAAAAACGTCAAACGCAGCACCAGGAACAGATTAAAACAGTTGTTATGTGAACTTGAAGTAAAAAAGTCTGCAATGCTTGCCCCGCCTTTGTGCTCTACTTATTGGCTCACTGCTCTACAACTGAATGCAAATGATTGGTTAATATTAGCTGTCAATCACTCAGTCAATGCCTTCTGCCTTCAGATGATAAGAGCTACAACAGCGAAAATGTGAAGCGCTGAAGATGAAAGAATGAAAATTACAGACATTTACCTAAAGCTATTAATAACGGCGCATCTGTTTAGTGATCATGTGCTGAATGTTAATCCACCATTTACACTTTTCCAAGAGTAGATAAAAGACTTCCAGTGGCTTCAAGTCCGCAGGTAACAGTGTTTGGCACTGAACCTACACATTTAAGCGCGAGAGGTATTGTATAATCCTTCATTTAATCCTCACGATGCTGTCAGCTGTGCAAGCGGCAGCTATATGTAACATTTAACACAGCTCATAAAAAGACTGTTATTGCTATTACGATGACATGCAAATAATAAGTTACATATCAATATAAATGTGGGGCGGGGCGATGGATCCTGATGCCGGCTAAGCATCGTGAAGTTTGTCGGCCATCAGCGATGGACAATGTCATGTAAAAAAATAATACAATTGATCAGCTACAATCAACATCATCTCCCGAAGAGCTTCATAAGAAAATACTTATTCTGCAAGCGGAATGACTCCTTGAGGATCTCCACATAAGATCACGCCAGATTCATTATGAACATGGTGAACGAGCTGGCAGGTTATTGTGTTACTAACTGAAACAATCCTCAGCAGCTGGTGTTATAGTAGCAGTTAGTTAGGATGATGGCAGTATTATTACTGATAAACAGGGTATTAGTGATCAATTTAAAAAACTTCTATAAAACTCTTTACAACTCTGAGGTAAACTAAATTGAATGTATTGAGAGCTTTTTTAATTATTAAGAATTACCATACCTCTGTGATTCAGATCAGTTGACAAAAGAAGGAATTTTAACGTTTGTCCTTTTCTTTCTGAATGTGTCACAGAATGTGTCCCGCGTTTGTCAGCTTCTCACAGGACCGGGTTTCCAAAGCTTGTCAATAATCAATCGCATGTTATTATTATCAGCTCAAGAAGTTTGTTATTTCAAATAGAGACGCGTGGCGAGCGTAAGGAAGAAAGCGAAACCACTCGGGCTTCAGACCGGCTCGTAAAAAACTACGCTGCACAGGGTAAATCTGCTCTGCTCCATGGCTTTGTGGCTGTTTATCAAGACGACGACAGGGTTTGTTTGAGCCCGGATCGACCATGGCTGCATATGTATATAATTCTGCTGTAATCTCTCGCTGTGTATTTCAAACATGGCGGGTCCTTTGTTAAGATTCTGGCTTGTGTCTACGAATGACGTATCTCTGTAAACCAATAGCGTTCAGCTGCACGTCTAGCTCTGCCATTTAGGACCTACTCACACTATGCCATCCGTACCGTGCCCAGGCCCGTTTCCCGGATCGTTTGAGAAGTGTGAGTGCGCTGAATCGGGCTCAAGCACGGTTCACTTGGCCGGCCTTGGCCCGGTTGGAAGAGGTGTGCCCTAGCGCGGTTCACTTGGGCTTTGGCACGGTACGCTTGTGTGTGAGTGCAAAACGCGCCAAAGCCCGAAACTGAAAGCGAGACGTGACTTTTAAGGGGCTGTTACATATGGATTTATTAATCATTCTTACTGTTCAGTGAACGCAAACTGCCGTAGTTTATTACAGACGAGAACTCCTCGAAGCACGACAGCTGCGTGGCTTCAGCAGACCTCCTCATTCCTGCAGCACGAGAGCTTTATGATTGTTTATGAGCGCCAAAAGTGGCGAATCTGTTTGGCGAAATATCTGACTGCGTGTCACAGCATCCCTAAGGACTGTTTGGTGAAATATTCGACTGCATGTCACTGCATAACTAACGACTGAAACGATATAACTAGAGAAATCTCCACTGTGCTGTTGAGTGAGAGAGCGCTTCTCACTGAACAGCGCAGCAGCGATGACGTAAGTGTGCCGAGGCCTGTTTGTGGTGTGAGTGCGGGCCGTCGGGGGAGACGGGAGGGGCACAAGCGCTTTGGCCCGGTTCGAGGCAGCTGTATCTAGTGTGAGTACGGCCTTAGTGTTTGGGACCTTTTCGAAAGGGTGCCAAAAAAGTGGTATGGTACGGTTTGGTTCGGTACGCCTTTTGACAGTGGAAATGGCCATAAAAGCGTACCAAACCGAACCACTCAGTGGAAACGGGACATAAAAGCTTGATTAGCTAGTCCAGGTGTGTCTGATTGGGGTTGGAACTAAACTTTGCAGAACACTGGCCCTCCAGGACCAAGTTTGCACATGCCTGCTCTAGAGGAACGAGACAGGACTGCCCTCTGTCCCCTCTGCTCTTTGACGTTGTCATCAAACCTCCTGTAACCAATTTAAGGAACTCAGATGGCTTGCAAGGAATTTTCAGAGAGGGACAAGAACATAAGTTTCTGCTATATGCGGATGATCTACTTTTTTCTGTCAAATCCAGATACATGCATTCCAAAAGCTCTTACAATCATTTCAGAATTTGCAAATGTTTCTTGAGACAAAGTCAATCTAGCAAAAAATCTCCTTTTCCCTATCAATGATAGAGCACAGCAAATGTCTACCCAAACCTTTCCATTTTAAGCAAGTCCTGATAAATTTGTATATCTTGGTGTGAGTGTGACACGTAAATATAAGGATTTGTTTAATAATAATTTTAAATGACGTTAGACAAAGTCAAACGAGACATGACGCACTGGTCAACCTTTCCTTTATCTTTGGCTGGGAAGATCAATTCCATTAAACTGATAATACTACCAAGATTTCTGTTTCTATTTCAGACTGTGTCTGTTTGTATTGCCAAGATTATAGATTTCAGCAGTCCAATTTTGGTTTAGGAAGGGAGTTAACTGTGTTAAAGACTTGTTTAAAGATGGCATATTTATCTCATTTAACAGTCAAGAACAGACATTGAGATTCCCCAGTCTAATCTTTTAGGTACCCTCAGGTCCATAGTTTCATTAAAAAACACTTCTGTCCTTCACTGAACCAACCAGAAGCATGCTGGATAGATGAATTGGTAAATATGGACCCATATCAAAGGGGTATGATTTCCATGTTGTATGAAGTGATCCAAAGAACTGCCCTCTCCTTCCCTAAACCATATAAATCAGAAATGGGAAGACGAACTGGGACTAGAAATATCAGATACAGCCTGGCAATATGCCATAGAACTGGTACACTCATCTTCTGTATGTGACTCAGATTCATCTTGTCCCAGATGTGGTTTGGAACGAGCAGATCAGTCATATGTTCTGGGGATGCCCTAAATTACATAGATTTTGGGCCAATATTTTTAGACAATTTTCATCTAAATGTAATAAAGATATGGATCCTAATCATTTGACCTCAAATTTTGGTACAGTGACAGAAGAAATGTACCTGTCAGCTAATCACATAGAAATCATGTGAAATGTGAATTAAATTTAATTACAAAACTAACCCTAACGAGCAAACGAGTGAAAACGAGCAGTGAAAAATCGCACGTCTCCCTCCCGGTCCTCAAATAAGTTGCACACCTTTCTCACCCCCGGATCCCTTCTCGCTCTTCAGACACGTCACACACTGTCTGCATTAGTTTCAAAAACAGATTTCTTAACGATTTAAAACGGCACCTTTGGATATCTTTTTTGCTGAAGATACTGTTGTCCTGAAAAACTTAAAACAAAATCTTAAAAAAAAAACTTACATATACCAAAGGAATGGTACAGCAGAACATTTTGGCAGTTTTAAAAAATCAACTTTTTTCTAACCGCAGTATACCTTGTAAACTGTTGTCGTCACATGCCTAAGCAGCAGAACACTGTTTTTAGGATCTAAAAATTATTATTATTTTTTTTAAGTCTCAAGCAAAAAGGATTTGAATGTCGCCGCCTGCTGGTACATGAAGAATATGGTCAATACTGAAGAACTTTACACTCAGATGTTTGCATTTCATTAGCATGCTGTAATCCATTACTAAAGCAGAAAAAGTCATTTTTAGACTAGTTTGTTGGTCAGCTGTAGTCAGTGCAATGCTAAGCGTTATTGTTTCACTATAATTTGTTCATTTTGTTTCACGTCGTCCCACAGCAACATCATATAGTTAAGAATACTGTACAATGTTTTAGAACAATTTATTATTTTAGTGTCAATTTCATTCATCAAGCTTAAAATTGGGGGCATCCATGTTTTTTGACATACTTTAAACAAGAGTTTCTGCAGGTTTCACCAAGTTAAATTTAAGAATTTTAAAGATTTTTTAAGACCATTATGACTGAAATTTTAGACTCATAAAGGGCTAAAGGCTAAGGAATTTTTCAAATGGCTAAGATGAAAATATTTTATTTTGCCCGATGAAAAAATATCATAATTTAATTATACAATAATATATTATATTTTAGATATTTTTTAGCAAAAGATTTAAAATTCTGTGTAGCAACAAGTAAGCTTTACTTGTATCCATACACTTTTTTTCCCAAGTAAACTTTCTTTAAAATTAATAAATAAATAAATGAACAAATGCTTTAAACGTTTTAAAACCTATAATAAACAAAATATATGCACAACAATCTGTCTAGGTCGATGTCCTCAGCAGTAATGGAGCACGTTTAAACAAATGTTATTGTAAGTAAATATTTAAACCATTATGATAAATAGAGTTAAAAAGACCTTTTTGAATGAAAAGTTTTATTGAGATGGGTTGTTGGTGATTGTAGATTGAAAATTTTGATTTTGGAATTTAAGGCACCGCAGAAACCCTGTTTAAAAGCAATAGCCCCGGTAATTAGCTATTATAATAATGATGTAATTCTAACTCAGATACTATCTGTGAGAACTAGTAACAACTACTAGAAACAAGTTTAAACCCATAAAGAAGTTGATGAAAAAATTGTGATCAACGTGACATATGCAAATGAAAAGTAAAAGTCAACACTATCACCGTAATAGCAGATATCTTCTATGAGAATACTGTAGGTCAAATATCGTCAGCTCATTTGAACTTTAATTTATTGTTTTTGTTTATTGTATATAGCGCCAGTGCTCGTGACGCTTTACCAACAGCAGGAGAACAAGAAAAACAATAACCTTAAAAAGGTAGAGAAAATGGGAGACTAATAATACATTAAAAGAATGACAAAAGACACGAGAGCAAGTGACAAAAGAAACTCATTCCTGTCTTTCAATGAGTGCTTTTGTGCGTTTAGGAGAAATAGGCAGCACACTCAGGGCTGCAAGATGGATTTAATTTAGTAGCCTATTCTTAATATTAAAATATATCAGTATTAAAACCAACCTGTTTGTTCCTGCAGATCTTCCTGTTTGACTGTGAATGTCTCTTCAATCTTCACTCTCTTCTTTAATAAACGCCATCTTTATAACAGTGTGGAGATCAGTCGCTTCAGCAGGAGTTTTTCTCTGTGTTTGGACACTTTATCCTGTTAAAAATGAACAAAACAATAAAAATGTCCTGTTTAAAATGAACAAAACAATGAACAGAAACAAAATAATTTCTCTTCAACACTTGCTTCAATGGTTTCTTTATTTGAGAGTAATTAACAAAAAGAAATCAGGTGAAACATTTAATTTAAACACTTATTATACACTTTTCTGTTGTTTTATTCAAACAACAGCCTTCAGTTACTGAGAATAAAATAGTACTAAGGTACTAAAATACTAAAATAGTTGTATAAATGGTTAAAATAATATTTCCAACAGCAGGAACATAATATAGCATCGTATAAAAAACTTAAAACTTTAGAACTTTAACTTTAAATCAGTTTATATCTGTAAACGTTTTAAAACAAACCTTTCTCCAGTTGAATCACAGCGACGAAGCGGCGCTGCCTGATGACGTCACGCGCCACGGCAAAATAAAAGTCTTTTTTGTTTAACTTTTTTGCCACTATCTGTTGCAGTCATGACTTATTGATACATTTCTCCCATGGTTTTCACTTTACTCTTTGTCTGCTCTCTCTCTCTCACAAACCTTAAATCTAAACATTTTCTTAACTTTTTTTAATCCACTTTATAATGACTTGTATGTCTACAACAAACTACTTTCCTATTAATATCTGAGTCCAAATCTCATCCTCATAATTATGACCTCTTCTATTTCTACAACTTCATAGGCCTATATAGGGTTTCTTTTTTCACATGAATTGTTGTCTCTTATTATCTGTGTTCCACGTTTCCTGCCATTCTTTAGCAATATCTGTAGTAATATTTAATTTACCTTTACTTACATAAGCATTAAAGGGGTAGTTCACATAAAAATTACAATTCTGTCATTTACTCATCCTCTACTAGTTTCAAAACTGTTTCTGCTGAATGCAAATAAAGAGAATATAGGGGCAAAAAACAGCCACTGTATGGTTCAACAGTTCCTATGGACTTGGGGGAAACCAGAGCACCTGGAGGAAACTCATGTGAACATGGGGAGAACACACAAACAAAAATGTCAGCTGACCCAGCAGAGGCTCAAACCAACGACCTTCTTACTGTGAGGCGATCAGTGCTACCTACTGCACCACTGTGATGCCTCACATGTATAATTATTTAAGGTATTAAACTGGTATTGGATAAGAACTTCGCTTACAAATAGTTGTTATTTTTAAAATGTGTGAAAAAGCACCATTCAGATGTAGCGACTGTATTGATCTGGGCAATCAAGCATGTATTGTTATAGACTCTATGCTTATTTGTCTTAAGAGATGTTAGGCAGGTCCTGTTCATGTAATATGTTCATGTAATAGTCTATCAAGTTGGTATTGGCATGAACAGCTATACCTGTCAACGGGTTTCTTATACGTTAAACGGTCCTATTCAGTTAATGATCAGGCAGCTATTAATAAAGATGACCGCACACAATGATGATCCATTTATTTAAATGAATATGTGACGCAGATATTTAAAATTCATTGTTGCAAACAAGTTACAGGAGTAAGTGCAGTTGTTGTTGTATGTGATGTTAACCACTGTAATTACACCATAGTGAAACAGAAGTCTGAGAAATGCTGTAGTTGGTGTAGGTAGAGCAGGTTAATCACGTTAAAAGTTATGCATTGTGTAGATATGAAAGTTAACTCTTGTCGTTGAATTATTCTGTATAAACTGCCAATACAATAAATTTACTAGTGATGTAATTATTTTCTAATTATAAATATTTAGATGCATCACAGTATGTGATCGCTTTACTGTGTTAAAAGGAAAAGGTTTTGTCAGAGTATCTTATATATGCTTCTGTGAATGTCTATGCATATTTGTGTGCACAAACACAAGTAATAAATAGAGAGAAAAACATCTTTAATACATACCAGGAGAATAAGAGGATTTCGGGAAAGCTGAGCTGCTTACACATGTTCTGTTCAACTAAAAAACAAAGGAAAGAAAACAAAATTGGCACAGAAACAAGTTACATTTTGATAGTAACAATTTATAAACATAAAGTGTTTACAGTCTTCCAGAAGCCAGTCATGAGCTGCATGTGCTTTAAGATAAATAAAGGACTCTAAACTCACATAAAGAACAAGTTCAGTAATAAATAAATGACTAAAACTCTGCTAATAGTTAGCTCATGTCAATATATTGACTGAACTTAACACAAATAAAACCTCAATGTGAAGTTTATAAATTGTTCCTTTCAACGAATGATAATATATCACAGTATTACAGTATACATCTTCTATAACTATTATATAAGTGAATGTAGTTGTGTGTATTGAGACATCGGTATGGATTGAGTTTTCAATGCTCATTTGCATCTTTACACAAAGACTTCAGCCAAGCAACTCTGAGAAACTTCTACAAAAACAACACACAACTCTTGCATTACCTTTTAACCAGGCTTGGGAAAAAATTAATTGAAATGTGTTACATATCATAAGTGTATCAACAGTAACTACAAAATGCAGCAACCAAAATAAAAAAAAAAGCTTTCATCAATAGTACTATAAAACAATAGCAGCTAAACAAATGAAGATGGCTAAAGTCAACTTATTTTCCCAATACATCATTATTTCTCTGTAAAACTGGTTTGTAAAGCTGCTGAACTTCCCATCCCCCACTGTATGTGTCTTGAGTCTTCACTGCTCCCCACTGCTCATTTGCATCTTTATACCAGCTTTAATGGGGGCCAATTGAGTCTTATCCAATCACATTCCAGATCCAGTATCTCAGCAGGGTTGCATCTATATATTCTGGGTTCCTAAAAGAATCTTCATTGGCTTATTTTGCTATAAGAAAACAACTTTGGAGGACAAACTACGATTGTAGATTCCTACATTGGGATTATTACTAACAACAACATACAAAGAAAAACCCACTGATGCCTTTTCTCATCCCACTTCTTCATTGAAGACTGAAAAGGTAAGTTGCACATTCTGAATTTACACTCAAATAATATCTAAATGCTCACTTATAAATTGTAAAATCTAAACAACGTTGCACTGTTCAACGTTGTATTAAGTTCTTCAGTTATTTTAAAAAGCTTCTTTACAACTGTTTAGTTTTTTTGTTTGTTTATTTAGTTATAAAAAAGTTTCAACCTATTACATATATAGGTTGGAACCTGGCAGGCAATTTTGTAGAATTTGATGTTTCCCCATTCAAACATACAAAGAGGTGGTAACATCAGTGAATGCAAGTAAATGGGTTAAAGCTATGGATGAAGAAATGCAATCGTTTAAAAGAAAATGCAACCTCCTATCAACCTACCTGAAGGCAAAGATCTAGTAGGGGTAAATGGGTTTATTCAATGAACATAAATGATGGTCTTACAAGTACAAAACAGAAAGCAGATAAAGTGTAAAGTGGAAAACGAGGGAGAAATGTATCAATAAGTCATGATAAAGAATAAATGGGGGAAAAAAAGACTTTTATTGTGGCATGGTAATGTGATGTCATAAGGCTGCGCCGCTCCCACACTGTGATTCAACTGGAGAAAGGTTTGTTTTTAAAGCTTTTACACAGATGTAAACCGACTGATTAAAATTTCAGGTTGTTCGTTTAATGCTAAATGTACCTGCTGTTGACAATATTATTTTACCCGTTTATACAAAGAAGTATTATTTTACTCACAGTAAGGTCTATTGTTTGAATAAGATAGGATAAACTTTATTTGTTCCCAAGAGTAAATTCTTGTCTTGTGCAAATAAGTTCTACAGCGTTGCTGTAAGCAGACAATAAAATAAATAAAACAAAGAAAATAATTAACAACATTTGTTAAAGTTTGAATAAAGCAACAGTAAAGTGTGTAATAAGTGTTTTAATGAAGGTTTAATTCATTAAACGGCATAATGTCATTCTATTCGAAGTATACATCACTATATATAAGAAATGGAGTACTAGTGTTAATCTGCTCATTTGTGTCTATTGTTTCTTGCTCAGACTTACCTGATTTCTGTTTGTTAATGACTGTCATATAAGGAAACTGTTGAAGCAAGTGTTGAAGAGAAGTTATTTTGTTTCTGTTCATTGTTTTATTTTTTTTTAAACAGGACATTTTTTTATTGTGTTGTTCATTTTAAACAGGATAAAGTGTCTAAACACAGAAAAACTGCTGCTGAAGCGACTGATCTCCACACGGTTATAAAGATGGCGTTTATTAAAGAGGAGAGTGAAGATGTGAAGATTGAAGAAACATTCACAGTCAAACAGGAAGATCTGCAGGAACAAACAGGTTGGTTTTTATTCTCAAACACCAACTCAGTCATTTGATCCTCATTCAGATATATTTTAATAATAATACTAAATTAAATCCATCTTGCAGTCCTGAGTGTGCTGCCTAGTTCTCCTAAATTTACATAAGCACTCATTGAAAAAAAGGAATGAGTTTCATTTGTTACTTGTTCTCGTGTCTTTTGTCATTATTTTATGTATTATTAGTCTCCCATTTTCTCAACCTTCTTAAGGTTATTGCTTTTCTTGTTCTCCTACTGTTTGTAAAGCGTCCTTGAGCACTGGCACTATATAAAACAAATAAAAACAATAAATTTAAAAAGTTTAACTGAGCTGACAATATTTGACCTACAGTATTCCCATAGAAGAGATCATCTGCTTTTACAGTGATGGTGTTGGCTTAGTACTTTCCATTTGCATATGTCACGTTGATCACAATTCCCTTTTTTCATCAACTTCTTTATGGGTTTAAACTTGTTTGTAGTAGTTGTTACTAGTTCTCACAGACAGTATCTACAATTACATCATCATTATTATAATAACTAATTATCAGGGCTATTCCCTATTTAATAGCCGCAGGGTCTTAAAATGTCTTAAATTCAAAAACCTAAAGGTTTCGGCCTTAAAAAGTCTTAAATTTACTGAAAGATTGTGTTGTAGGTCTTAAATCTTTTTAAAACAAGTCTTCATTTTCCTTTTTTCATGTTTTGCTACCTAATCTGGCCGAAACCCATACAATCACCAACAATCCATCTCAATAAAACCTTTAACCTTTCATTCAAAAAGGTCATTTTAACTCTATTTATCATAATGCTTTAATTATTTTCGTGCTTCATTTGTTTAAACGTGCTCTAGGTTTTTTCTGCTGAGGACATCGACCTGGACAGATTGTCGTGCATAGATTTAGTTTATTATGAGAATGGCTTGTCCTTCTTTAATGAATAAATAGTTTAAATTCACAGATCTTCAACAGGAACATGTACTATAACTAGATTAATGGGATTATTACTTGTTCAAAAAACTATTTAGTACTGCTTACATTCTTATTAATTTTAAATTTTTTTTATTGATTTTTCAAAAGTCTTTGATTTTTCCACAACAAATTAAAGAACAAATTAACATGGTACATACCTACAGACATACTCATACCCCATAAAGAAAAAGGGAAAAAGAGAAAAATAAAAATAGGTAAAAACAAATCAGGAAATTAGGGATAAACTCTCACTTAGGATATAATAACCCCTGAGCGTTCAGTGTAGGATAAGAA